GTGGACATCATGCCCGTCAAAATAAGGCACAAAATTTGCTCATCTATTGATAGCAGTCCCTACAATTCAGTTGACTCGGTTATAGCGACAACAACCTGGAGAAAATAGTACAAAAGTAAAATTGTACTGGGATTAGATGGATAAATCAAGGAAAAGGCATTTCCTGATCGTATAACAAAAAGTTACTGATGGCTTGCTTGGATTACTGTCGGAATAAATAAAGAATAAAAGATTAGTTGATGTTTATTCTGACAGATTGCTCAAGCCATTAGAAATTTTGAGTTGCACGATCAGGAGATGCTTTTTTCTTAATTTATACCTGTAAGCAGGTGTGTAGTATATTTGCATGTTTGCTCTTTGCATATTTGCTTGTGGCATGTTTGGCACGATTTGCATAGTTGTTATAACCTATTTGTGCCAGCTATATATATAGAGCGTGTGTGCCAGTCCAGCCGGGGGAGGATAGGGATAGTCTTGTTGCCTAAAACGACTTTTGCTAATATAGTTTTATCCTGACAAATAAAAAGTATTTGTTTAAAACAATACCTGTAAGTCTGTTGATGTCTTCATCCTAATATTGATACATGGGATTATTTTGTTGAATTGTAAACTCAAGAGAGTTATATTGTGGATTAATGTCTTTGGCGCCGATGTTTTTATAATGTCTCTAACATCTTAATCTACGTATTCTTCGTAGATCGCGAAACACGTGATGTCGCTTCAGACCCACTGGCGATTCTCCACCAAACTCTGCAGCGCTGGCAGAGGCGCCATATTCATTGTACATAGTGTATATAATGCATATTATCTTTTTTTAAAATAGTGCAGACTGTGCACTTTGCATGTATTGACAAGATGTCAATAAAATTATTTTAATTGTCTAACATTTATAAATATGGGAACATATTGAGTGCAGAAGGCGAGTACCTCGAAGAGTAGAAGACGAAGAAATAGGTTTGATGGTGACAAATTAAGACGGTTGGTCGGTTATTGCCAGCGGGGATAGATTGGCTCCATTAACTTCCAAGATTGCATAGCGCTTCATTTATCTCTGCTCCGAAGTAATAGAGAGCGCTCAACTAGTGAAAAACTTACCTGTCAGTTACTGGCAACCATTGCTTAATGATACTTTCTTCATGCCAACTTGGGAGTCTATAAATAAAAGAATATTCACTGAGGGAAGAGTTTCTATCACGACAAACTTTCGGGTGTAACAGCTCTTCAACAGGTGTAAGTACGATACGAATTCTTAGATATTTTAAATAATTCCATATATATTATAATGCAATAGCGCGCCATCTGTTATGAAAATTCGAAAATATTATAGACGTGTATCATTCTTTTGCAGTAAGGGCAAGTAGAATTTGTTTTATTTTTTAAAGAATTATACGTGCCTAAAATAGTATCAATTTTCAAATCCATATATATACATACATAAACACACACAGAAAGAAGTGGTAAATATAAGATTCTTTGTAATTATAAAACTTCTGTTTATTTCAACTCCCGACGTTCCAGTAATTTCCTGTTACTCTCTTCGGAGGAATGGGGTGGCTCTTCAGGGGTGGCTGAGTTTTCACTACTTCCACCCAACAAATTATATTCTAGTATTCATCTTATACGGACTATTTTCAACCACATTAAAATTTCTCGCAGAGGATGCTCGGCACAAATATTTACAAATCAGAAATAAGATGTGAAGAATATCACAAAAAAGTAGAACTTTAAATCAATTATTCAGAAATCGGTCCAATATATGGGCGATCAAGTTGATCTCGAAGAAAAGTCAATTCAGTCCATAGAACACCGCAGAGCTTGGATGAAACCAATCCCGTGCACTGAATTTTAAATTGAATTCTCTTCTCGTTAGATTTCTAGCTCGTACTTGGGAGGACTTATAGCGAGTTGGTATTCTCAATGGGGATCTCCTGTATTTTACTGTGATTACTCTGTTGTATACAGTGATTACTGTGTTTTCTAAAGTGAATACTGTGTTTTCTACAGGGATTACTGTGTATTCTACAGTGAATACTGTGCTTTCTACAGTGGTTACTGTGTATTATACAGTGATTAATGTGTTTTATACAGTGGTTACTGAGTATTCTACAGTGATTACTGTGTTTTCAACAGTGGTTACTGAGTATTCTACAGTGATTACTCTGTATTTAACAGATATGTCTGTATTCTTGACCAATTCTACTGTATTATACATTTATTATTTTGTATTAAACAGGGATATCTGTTTTATTCAGTGATTACCCTGTTTTATTTAGTGATTATTATCTATCCAGTAGGAAGACTTGTATTCTACAGCAATTCTCCTGTATTCAACAGTAAATACTCTGTATTTACCAGGGATACCTGTGTTCTACAGTGATTATCCTGTTTTATTCAGTGATTACCCTGTTTTATTTAGTGATTATTATCTATCCAGTAGGAAGACTTGTATTCTACAGCAATTCTCCTGTATTCAACAGTAAATACTCTGTATTTACCAGGGATACCTGTGTTCTACAGTGATTATTCTGTTTTATTCAGTGATTATCCTGTTTTATTCAGTGATTATTCTCTATCCAAATAGGGAGACTTGTATTCTACAGCAATTCTCCTGTATTCAACAGTAAATACTCTGTATTTACCAGGGATACCTGTGTTCTACAATGATTATCCTGTTTTATTCAGTGATTATCCTGTTTTATTCAGTGATTATTCTCTATCCAATAGGAAGACTTGTATTCTATAGCAATTCTACTGTATTCAACAGTAAATACTCTGTATTTACCAGGGATACCTGTGTTCTACAGTGATTATCCTGTTTTATTCAGTGATTACCCTGTTTTATTCAGGGATTATTCTCTATCTAATAAGAAGACTTGTATTCTTCATCAATTCTACTGTATTCAACAGTAAATACTCTGTATTTACCAGGGATACCTGTGTTCTACAGCGATTACCCTGTTTTATTCAGTGATTGATCTCTATCCAGTAGAGGAAGACTTGTATTCTACAGCAAATCTCCTGTAATCAACAGTAAATACTCTGTATTTACCAGGGATACCTGTGTTCTACAGCGATTACCCTGTTTTATTCAGTGATTGATCTCTATCCAGTAGAGGAAGACTTGTATTCTTCATCAATTCTACTGTATTCAACAGTAAATACTCTGTATTTACCAGGGATACCTGTATTCTACAGTGAATATTCTATATTTCATAGGGAGACTTCTGTAACTTGTAAATGGGTAGGTCAAATATTATGCAACAAGTTAAATCAACATTTAGTTGATTTCCGTTCCACTAGATGGCGCTCTGCGATCTAAAAGCTCATGTAAACGGTCAAGATATGCCTTTTTTAAAATTTTAATACCAACATCTGACCTTTTTAAAAGTATTTTATTAATTTTTCACACACATACATTCATATATATTAAAAATAAAAAAGGCATATCCTGACCAGGAGCACATGTGCTTTTCAGAAGGCAGAGCACCATCTGGTGGAACAGAAATCATCTATTCATTGATTTAGCCTGTTCCCTAATATTTGGCCAACCCAATTTTTTCATATTAATTTTTTTCTATTGTTTTTTAATTTATATATATATAAAGAAAATGTCAGGTGTTGATATTAAAAACAAAAAGGCATATCTTAACCGCGCGCTCACGTGAGCTCATATAAGATTTGCCTTTTTATTACAATATTTTCCACTTTAAAGAGTGAGACAGGAAAAAGGTGATCAATATAATATTCCAATAAATATAAACACACTATTATATATCATAATCATATCTAAAAGCAGACGCACAGATTCACAAACCTGTAGTTGACGTATTTCTTGATTTAGGAAGCCGAACGTTTGACGACTGTTCTTTTTTAAAATGGAAAGAAAACAATCCGAGCGATTTAATAAATTTTTTGTTTTGAAATAGAAAACGGCCGCCCAAGTAAAAGAAGCTTTGTCTTCTACTTCTCTCTCTAAAGACAGTTCACAACTTGACTTTAAACGAAAGCGAACATGCCGCGAAGACCTATTTTTGTGCATATTTGAAATTGTATATATCGAGTAAATTTAAAGACAGTTTTATATGGCGTTCAATTTTTTCATATATTCACTTATAACATAGCTTAATATTCAGTTCCCTTCTGTTTTCATAAATTATTATTTTGAAAATAGAGCAATCCATAAATAAATCTTTAATTAAAAAGGCAAATATTGGATCGAAAATTATTTATTTTACAAATAAATCAGTTGGCTGAACGCCAACCTTTATCAAGGTGTTATAACATATTTAATGTGTGTCCTTTGATAAAGGTTGGCGCTCACAGTCAACTGAATCATTGGTAAAATAAATAATTTTTGTTCCAATATATGTCTTTTTAATAAAAAAAAAATATATTTTTATTTATTGTTTGAATGAAATCATTACATAAGTTGGCATTTTTGTTTAAATGTCCTCGAGTTTTTCCTTCGCATGTGCAATATGTTCCAGTGCTTCAATAATATTTCAGGACGCGCGAACTGGAAGTGAAACTTGCCTCCAACCAACGCTGTCAGAAGGATCGTTGTCAGCGTGGATGTCACTCCTGAGTCCCGATACAGTCCACATCCGGCCTGAGTGACGCCGACTTGTAGACTGAACCGCTGCCGACCGACACATTCGTTTTGGTCTCCACTTCCACACAGAGCAGTCGGCTCCGTACAATCCAGTTACCAACGCGGCTTGGCCATCTTCAGGACACATCCCGCCTTCAGGCCAACAGCTGCTATCTAGCGTACTTTCACCGATTGCGCCATCTTCATGACTTCTTATTGTCACCAGACTATCTGTTCTTCCCATTTTCTGTCTCTTCCTTAGCTTATCCCTTTCTTTAATCCAACATTCCCCCTCTAGGGTCAGTAGCACTTCGTTATCTACCACCCACGTCGTCTTGGCTCTTGTGATGGGGGTAACCAGATTTCACTTTGTATATTTTTTCCTTCAATTTTTTTAAAATTAATTTTGACCTTTTTACAGTTTTCAGTTGGCAGATCGGAGGACTGTAGATGTATCAACGGTGATCCTTAGGTCGCTGGTTCAAATCCGGCTCAAGGGATTTTTTTTATTTCGATAAGAAAGAAGAAGGATTTTACAAGGTTGTCCTAAATGTTCGTAAACACTTGAAAAAAATTGAAATACCAATATTAATTGCCGTTATGTGTAATGTCTTTGTATTATGTATAAAGTAATTGTATTATGTATTCGCCATAATAATATTATTCAATAAGTAATAAGAAAAAAACGAACTTTTGGGACAACCTTATATATATAAATACTCAATTTATTTAAAATTATAAATAGATATAAAGTTGCAGGAGGATGGTTTACATGTACTAAAAGTGTTACTTCCGTCTTTTAAAATGGATTAAAGCGATGCATTTTGTTATTCACCACAGTACAAAACGTAAATGGGATTAAATGGTTCGAAACCATATGACATATTGGTTGGATTTTATATGAATTTGACCAAATTGGTTTTGTGGCATATTTCCAATTACCAACATAACGTTCTTTACTAGGGTGATCAACCAAAATGTAATGTGATGTATATAGTTGTTCATTTGTTTTAAATAAATATTAAATTGATGTATATAGTTGTTCATTTGTTTTAAATAAATATCAAATTGATGTATATATTTGTTTAGTTATTTTGCATATTTTTCATCTGTGAATTAATCTTATAATTTGGTCTATGAAAATAAAAATATTGGACCAGTGACCAAAACAAACTGTAAATAGATCGCTTAATGTTATATAGTTAGTATAGAGAGTTGTTAGGCGGGATATATATATATTTAAATGTTATGCTTGTGTAATTATAATCTTAATTGAATAAAAATATTTAAATTATAAATGTGTTATAAATCTTAAATACCAAGCATTAAAACAACTGGCGACGAGTAAAAGCGAATTTTAGAAAGAAAAAAGAAATTATACTTTAAAAATGTCTTCAGGTATGTTTGAAAGATTTGACGAAAATCTAGAGAATGTTGAGAATTATATTTATCGCTTGAAGCAATTCATGCTAATTTCTAAAACAAAAGAAGACTTTAAGACGCCATTTCTGATATCATGCATCGGGCCTAAATATTTTGGAATCTTGCGAAATTTGGTTTTTCCGGAGGAAGTTGATCAAGTTCCCTTTGATAAATTATGCAAGATCTTATTGAAACATTTCAATCCTAAGACCAATATAATATATGAAAGATTTGTATTCCAGAAAATGGATCAAAAATCAGGCGAAACAATATCTAAATACATAATACGCCTAAAAGAACAGGCTCAAAGGTGTAACTTTGGAGATTTTCTGCAAGAATCCCTAAGAGACAGATTTGTAGCGGGCATCATTGATACACCAACCCAAAAGAAGCTACTACAGGAAGAAGGATTAACTTTTGAGGGAGCATTAGACATCGCTCTGTCTGCGGAGTCTGCAGATAATGACCTACACAACCTCAAGAGATCCGAAGATGCCCATCGGTCCCCACAGCATCTTCATGCCATCAATAATCCCTGCAAACACTGTGGTAAGAACAACCATCTACACTATAATTGTTTTTTTAAATCAGCTAATTGTAGAGTTTGTGGTAGGGTAGGGCATATTTCTACAATATGTTATAAAAAAGACAGTTCTGCCCGTAAATTGCCCAGAAATCCCAAAAATACTTTTAATAAATTTAAAAAGCATGCTAATAATAATAATCCTTCGGGATCTCAAAATAATTTATCATTGAATAATATAGATTTACATCCTCCTTTGACTGAAACAGTATATGTAAATGATATAAAATTGTTGGCTGAAATTGATACTGGAGCAGCCATTACTACATTAACTAAATATGAGTACTTTAAATATTTCAAAAATGTTAAATTAAATAAATGTAATACAGTCTTGACCGGTTATAGTGGCTCTAATATACCTATTTTGGGCAAGGCTAAATTTGATATAAAATTAAGAAATGTTTCTAGAACCATTGAAATACTAATAACTAATTTAAATTGTTCTAAATTTCTCTTAGGAAGAGATTTCCTTAATCTTTTCAATATCTCATTCAATTATTTGCATAAATTGGACTCTTTTAGCATAGATTCACTTTTAAATGATTATGAGTCCATTTTTGAATGCAAATCTGACCCTATTAAAGGTATCAAATGCCATCTTGATGTGAGGGCTGACTTTATCCCAAAATTTTACAAATTTAGACAAGTTCCTTTTGCATTAAAACAACTTGTGGAAAATGAAATTGATAAATTGGTTAATTTGAATATTTTGTCTCCAATAGATAAAAGTGATTGTGCTTCACCACTTGTTTGTGTTGCAAAACCAAATGGCCAAATTAGACTTTGCGCTGATTTTAAAAAGAGTTTAAATCCTTACTTAGAGGATGTCAAATATCCTATTCCTAACATAGATTCAGTCTTGAGTAATTTTCAAGGAAAGAAATTATTTACTAAATTAGATTTATCAAAGGCTTACCATCAAATTGAGATGGATGATATTTCAAAAAAGTATTTGGTTGTCTCCACTCACAAAGGTTTATATAAATATAATCGTTTGGCCTTTGGTATAAAGACTGCTTCTGAAATATTTCAGAAGACAATGGAATCCTTCTTCTTGGGAATCAATGATGTTTACATTTATTTTGATGATATTCTTATCGCATCAGAGGATTTGGAAAGCCATTTAGATATTCTTAAGAGAACACTTAATACTCTTAAAGAAAATAATTTTACAATAAACAAAAATAAGTGCTTGTTTGTTAAAAATGAGATTGAATATCTTGGACATAAAATTAATGAATTTGGTATATACCCCTTGAAAGACAAGCTAGTTTGCATAAAGAATTGTCCAGTTCCAAAGAATATAACTGAATTAAAAAGCTTCCTTGGATTTTTGTCATTTTATAGTAAATTTTTGCCAGGTCTTTCAGATTTAGCATATCCTTTATACAACCTATTAAAAAAGAATATTAAATGGTCTTGGAATGCTGGGACAGATAGATCCTTCAATTCCTGTAAAAATGCATTAGATGAGACCACATGTTTATCGCATTATTCCCTAAATTTGCCTTTGATTCTTTCGTGTGATGCAAGTCAGGTGGGAATAGGAGCATCCCTTTCACATTTGAAGGATGGGGAGGAAAGGCCTGTGTGTTTCATTTCCAGAACGTTAAATGTTCATGAAAGAAAATATTCTCAAGTTGAAAGAGAAGGACTTGCAATTGTCTTTGCAGTAAATAAATTAAAACATTACCTTTTTGGTAGGAAATTTACCATTTACACTGATCACAAGCCCTTAATAACTATTTTTGGAGATAAAACAAATTTGCCTCCACTCATTGCAAATAGACTTCATAGATGGGCTCTAACTCTTTCAAATTATAGTTTTGAAATTAAGTATAAAAAAGGAAAGGATAATATTATTCCAGATTTCCTTTCTAGATTTCCGGAGTTTCAAGAGGATAATTTGGAATATAATGATGGGAGTGGTGAAATTTTACTCTTAAATACTTCCATCATTGACCATGTTCTTGTGGCTCATGAAATACAATTAGACAGGACTTTATTCAAATTGTATAAAATTATTGAGACAGGGGAGTTACCCTCAAGTCCCAATGATGATCTCATTCCTTATTTAAATAGGATTGATGACTTTACCATTCTCCAAGAATGTATTTTTCTGGAGAATAGAATGGTTATCCCAAAAAGTCTACATGAAAGGGTACTTCAATTATTACATGAGAGCCATGCAGGAACTAATAAAATGAAAATGATGGCACGTTCATCTATTTGGTGGCCCGGCATGGACTCTTCAATAGAAATAATTACAAAAAATTGCAGAACTTGTCTTTCTAATGAAAGTTTGCCTCCTCAAAGGACTGAGAGTTGGCCTAAATATGCAGGACCATGGAGGAGGGTTCACATGGACTATTTCAATTTCAAAAACAAACTGTTTTTACTAGCAGTAGATTCATTTTCTTCATGGGTTGAAGTTTCTGAAGTACCATCTACCAGTGCATATTTTTGTATAAATTTTATGAGAAATTGTATTGCTCGCTACGGATTTCCACAAGTAGTGGTTTCTGATAATGGTCCTCCTTTCTTTAGTAGTGACTTTGGTGATTTTTTGTCTAAGAATGGCATATCCCATGTGACATCTCCCCCATATCACCCACAATCGAATGGACAGGCAGAAGTCTCTGTAAGAGAGGTAAAGAAATTGCTAAAAAAGCAATTATATGAAAATGAGCAGGTGGAACTAAATTTGGCTCTGTCCAGGGCTTTGTTCTTTATAAGGACCGATGTAAATATTAGGAAAGGGACATCACCTGCGGAACTGTTTCTTGGAAGAAAGATCAGATCAAGACTTTCGGTGTTATCAAAAGAAGAAGTAAAAGCCTCCAAATTCAATAGTCAATATGTTAACAGTAAATTTAAAGTGGATGAGACTGTGAAGTTTAGGTGGATTACTAATGGGCATCCCTCTTGGTATACAGGAAAGATAATTAAAATACTAGGAAGGAATGTTTATTTAATAAAACAAGGTGACAGTATAAAAAAGGTTCATCAAAACTACATTAGAAAAATGTTGCCGGGTAAATCACATCCCACTAATATGAATGATGCTGAACGTGTGCCAACTCCAATCTCGGAGGAGAAAAGTGTTACAACCCCCAGGTATCCTCAGAGGGAGCGCAGATGTCCGCAGAGATATGGAGAGTAAATAAATAAATAAGGGGGGCCAAGCCTAAGAAGGGGGAATTGATGTATATAGTTGTTCATTTGTTTTAAATAAATATTAAATTGATGTATATAGTTGTTCATTTGTTTTAAATAAATATCAAATTGATGTATATATTTGTTTAGTTATTTTGCATATTTTTCATCTGTGAATTAATCTTATAATTTGGTCTATGAAAATAAAAATATTGGACCAGTGACCAAAACAAACTGTAAATAGATCGCTTAATGTTATATAGTTAGTATAGAGAGTTGTTAGGCGGGATATATATATATTTAAATGTTATGCTTGTGTAATTATAATCTTAATTGAATAA